CTAATGAAGCCACATTTCAGATCTTGTTCATTCGTCCCAGCCACTACCTACCTCTCAGCAGCCTGTGACAAAGCAGCCTGGCTTTGTGCTCGGTTAACTCCGGCTGTTCATCAATATCCTTCAGCAGTTTTTCTTCCTCCACCCGTTACTTACATGTTGGCAGCATCCAAACGTATCTCCTCTCTTGCCTTCCTCTTTCTCACTTCAAGACTCATTGCTTCTGTCTAAACTAAGTCCTAAATTGACATCTCCAGACCAGTATCTGCCCTGAATATCAGACTCCAGACCTCTACTGGATCCTGGCCACAGAAATTTTTTTTTTTAATTCATTTTTTCACAGAAAAAAAATTCATTAAAAGTCAACCCTGAGATGAAATGGCTGACCTTTGCTCAGATGCACATCTGGCCAGTATTGAGGCTTCAAGACAAACTATGCAGCAGCGTAAAGAAGTAGCCAGATTGCTGGGCACGGTGGCTCACACCTGTAATCCCAGCACTTTGGGAGGCCAAGGCAGGTGGATCATGAGGTCAGGAGTTCAAAACCAGCCTGACCAACATGGTGAAACACCATCTCTACTAAAAATACAAAAAATTAGCCGGGGTTGGTGGTGTGTGTGCACCTGTAATCCCAGCTACTCAGGAGGCTGAGGCAGGAGAATCGCTTGAACCTGGGAAGCAGAGGTTGCAGTGAGCCGAGATGGTGCCATTGCACTCCAGCCTGGGTGACAGAGCAAGACTCCGTCTCAAAAAAAAAAAAATAAATAAAAGAGAAGTAGCGAGATTGTAACACTCGGGGAGGGGAGGGGAAACCAACCGTGAACCTGGAGTCTGGGAGTGGCACTGCACCGCCTTGACTGCCTTCGCCTGTGTCTCACTGTCTTGCTTTCCTACTCTAGTCATCATAGTCTCAGCAACCATCAGGAACATATTCCCTTCAATTGCTGAAAGCACTATAGCATCCATCGAACCCCCAGCTAGGATTCTAGTGGAGTTAGCTATGTCCACCACGGACTTAGCCTGAAAAAATACGGGTCTTAGCCTGAAAAAATATGCTGTTACTTCAGCAGGCCACAATTAGCTCAAACAGGAGGAAGGATTTTATGACAGCCAAGGAAGGAGATTTAAACATTAAACAAGTTTCAAAGTGCTAGATTGTTTTTTTTTTTCCCAAGAAAACATCTCCAGGTAAAAGCGCTAGATTTCTATTTGTGGAGAAGACCCCAGTCTTCTCTGTAGTCAATTATGAGCAGTGCAGTCCAAACACTTGATATTCACAAGTGTTGTGTAAAAGTAACTATAGGGTAGATACCTCCTACCCTATAGAGAAAAAGATGGTTCCCAGGCTGATAGGCACTTCCACTCCTGCCCTTGGTAGCTTCACAGTGGTTTGTGGGTAGTAACCAAGGCCAGAGAGAAATCTAAAGCCTGAGTTGGCAGCTCTGGGACCCTTGGTCAGCTCATGCCTGGCCTGAGTCACCCTGTAGATCCCACATTGAGAAACAGGGAAACCTTACAGGCCTATAGGCTGGTCTTGGAGAGGACAGAGACCTGACCCGCTTTTCCTCCAATTGGAAGACCAAGCAGGAAGAGAACTAAGGGAAGCTAGGGAAGTAGCAGCAGCCTGAAAGAAGAGGCTCAGAAAACAAACTAAAACTGGGGAGGCTGGGCATGGTGGCTCGTGCCTGTAACCCTCTCACTTTGGGAGGCCAAGGCAGGAGAATCACTTGAGGCCAGGAGTTCGAGACCAGCCTAGGCAACACAGTGAGATCCTGGCTCTAGAGAGAGAATAAAAAAGCTGGGTTCCTGCTTGAGCCCAGGAGTTGAGTCTGCAGTGAGCCATGATCATGCCACTACTCTAACCTAGGCAACAGAGCAAGACTCTGTCTCTGGGAAAAATAAATAGCGGGGACTGCCAGTGGGAGCTGACTCAACCCGAGTAAGGGCGTAATAGCTCCTCTACAGGTGTTTGTACTGCCCAACAAAGAACCGGACCCTTACAGTCAGAGGACCCATGGTAGGATTATCTAGTGTAGCCCCTTCTTTTACACAGGGAAGCTAGGACTTGGGCTGGGTGGAGTGGTGAGACCTCAAAACCACCGAAGAGCTGGGTCACTCTAGAGAAGCTTTTCTACTTGGCCAATGCCTTTTAGCCCACTTCCCTCTAGGTCTCTGATGTATAAGAGTTTTGTATGTGTGTCTGTCTGTCCCAAGAGACAGGAAGCATACATTTCAGGGAAGGAACGAAATTTCCACAGGGCCATGATGCTAGTCCATTCTCCCAAGAACAAGTCCTACTCTGTCATTTACCTGCATACTGTCACATGAAGAAGACTGACATTGGTGGGCCTTCCAGGCTGTGGCTGCTGGGGCACCCTTCACCTCAGGAGTCCCATCCTAGCCAACAGGGATGGGCAAGATGAAGGGAGCAATAGGAAAAAGGACAGGGGAATTATCTCATGTTTTAAAATTTATATACCGGCCGGGCGCGGTGGCTCACGAGGTCGAGTGATCGAGACCAACCTGGTCAACATGGTGAAACCCCGTCTCTACTAAAAATACAAAAAATTAGCTGGGCATGGTGGTGCGTGCCTATAATCCCAGCTACTCAGGAGGCTGAGGCAGGAGAATTGCCTGAACCCAGGAGGCGGAGGTTGCGGTGAGCCGAGATCGCGCCATTGCACTCCAGTCTGGGTAACAAGAGCGAAACTCCGTCTCAAAAAAAAAAAAAAAAAAAAAAAAAAATTTATATACCATGGGACTGTTAGAGAAAGGTGAAAAAACCAGCAACCAATTCAGAAGCAGAAGCTTGTTTTAGCTCACACTGCTTTCTTCTTTCTTTTCTTTCTTTTTTGAGACGGAGTCTTGCTCTGTCACCCAGGCTGGAGTGCAGTGGTGCAATCTCAGCTCACTGCAACCTCCGCCTCCCAGGTTCAAGCGATTCTCCTGCCTCAGCCTCCCAAGTACTGGGATTACAGTTGTCCACCACCATACCTGGCTAATTTTTGTATTTTTAATAGAGACGGGGTTTCATCACGTTGGCCAGGCTGGTCTGGAACTCCTGACCTTGTAATCTGCTTGCCTCAGCCTCCCAAGTACTGGGATTACAGTTGTCCACCACCATACCTGGCTAATTTTTGTATTTTTAATAGAGACGGGGTTTCATCACGTTGGCCAGGCTGGTCTGGAACTCCTGACCTTGTAATCTGCTTGCCTCGACCTCCCAAAGTGTTGGGAAGACAGGTGTGAGCCACTGCCCTGGGCCTTCAGTGCTTTCTTCTTTCCTGAACATTGTTTCTTGCTTTTTCACTATGTCTCCTGTATGAGAACCCTGACTTGTCGGACATATTCTGGGTCCCCTGTTTGCCTTCCTTTTCCTTTACCTCCTCCTGTAACACCTAACACAGGTAGGATCGCACTGGTAAAAGCTACAAACAACAGCAGTGGAAGGAGACATATTGGACCCTTTCTCTGAGTTTTACTAAAAATTCAGGAGACATCAATTTGCTGCCTCTACAGAGTCAGAAACATGAACTAAATCTGAGGTTCCCAAACCTGGATCATCCTGTCACTCACTAACCACCTACTGGGTGGGCCCAGGAATTGGCATTTTATGGAGATCACTTGATCATCTCACCAATCTTTCAGATATGCAATGAGGAAGTCATGCATAACCTTAAATTCATAGGGCAGTTGGGTTGCAGCCTCTTCAAATAAATGACAATTTAAAGTTACCTCTGCCAGGACTTTTATCATAAATCCCATTTCTTACATATTCCAGCAAACCCCTAACCTCTCTGATTTCTCAAATTTCCAAGAATCTCTGTTCACTTCTTATGTTTGTTTACTCCCAAGAGAATGGAGGCTCATCTGGAAAAAGAACTAGATTAATCTTCTGCTCTACCCTTGAGCTCCCAATTATGGTAAGAAACTCAAGAAAAATTTATTGGCAGATCAGAAGATGGATCATTAGAGGAAGTCTAGTGTAAGAGCTGAAAGAAGGTACTTTGGAGTCAGATGGATCCTGGCTGTAGCAAATTAATATTCCTGTGTCTCAATTTTTTTCTGTCAATACCTACCTCAAAAGGTTGTTAAGGGTGAATGAGATGATACCTAGAAATTACTCTGAACAGTGCCTAGAATAGAGCATCCAGTAAACTGTCTGCTATGACTATTATTCAGAACACCCCAGTATTTCCCAGCCACAACTGCCCCTTCACCAGCCAACAGGGATGATGTGCGGAGTGGTCTTCCATGGACAAAGCTTCCGGTTCCATTCTTTTGAAGAGAGAAATGCAAATGACTCAAGATCTTCTCAGAAAGACAGTGTACCCATATATATGGAGTTTCCTGGGGAGAATGATGACCACTTTAGTATTCTGCAGACTCAAGGACCCTACATCAGGAGGTCCCAGCTAGGGGTCCCAGCTAGGACAGTCAGTTACCAACCCTGTCACCCTTCCAGTTTACTCCATGAAACATGAGCTCAACAACTACCTGGAATTTAAGAACTATTTATACTCTGAAAGGAGAGCTAAACAAACCTCTGTTCTCCAAAGACAAAGAACTATCTCCATCTTCAACACAGCGAAGAGACCACAGGCTTTGTAAGCAGACTACCTTGAGTTCGTTTTAGAGCAGATCACTGTAACCCTCTGGACCTCACCTTCCTCATCTATATAGAAATGAGAAAGGGGTGCACAGGAGAAGGGAGAGAGGATAAAGTCTCACTGAACTGTTGTGAGGTGTGAATGAGGCACTGGGGGCAAAAGCACCTAGCATAGCACCTAGTACATCTCAAGCATTGAACTGGTGCTGGTCCCTCTGTCCAGAGATAGGGCTATGGACTACAGACAAGGTGAACTCAAAGAGTCAGAACTCAGAGTCTCAGATACTGAAGCCTTGGGTCCCTCCCTGCCTCCCTTATCCCTCCCAGACCAGCTCTTGGACCCCCTCCCTCAAGTTCCCAGTCCCAGGCTGCTAAATTGATGAAGCTAAAAGGGTTTTGATCATGTCGGTATATTTATATGTAAATACAAAACTGTATCACTGTAAGATATTGAATATGAACATTACAATTATTTTCTGAATCTGACTCAGTCCATTGATATTAAATACAAAATGAAATGATTGTAAAAAATAAGAATATACACATTCAAAGAGCTTATTACAATATAAAATTATTGAGGTCTGATCAGCTGCCAACCTCATCTTCTGTGACAGGGGAAGCCTTAGGAGTTCCTGGGATTTTCTTGGGAATGCAGAGTACTGGGGACTCTTAATCATCCCTAGCACATGAGGATGAGTGGGCTGGGAGCAGGCAGGGACAGGTTGGGTAGGTAGGGGACAAACAGTAATTGCAGGGACCACCTCACCCAGCCAGGGGGTAAAGCTTTTTATTGACACAGAACCTACCCAGTTTGATGCCTAGTCTAGCAGGCTAGCGGGCATCTCAGTAGACAGGGCCAAGCTGCATAAAGGAACCATCCAGCAAAAAAAAAAGCCCCAGCTAATCCTTCCAGGGAGGTATTTTCTTAGTAGGTTTTTCTCTCACACTTGGGCTCCTCTCCTTCCTTTTAAGACTTCGTACCGATTGCGTTTGGCTCCGGCTGCTCAGTGAGTTCATCTCTGCCCTCCACCTCCCATCCCTGGGACAGTGAGAGCAAAGAGAGAGTATGGAATCACAGTGGAGGTCTGTTCTCCAAATTGGCCAAGTAAGCAGAGAAAAATCATCAGATAAGGGAAATGCATGCAGAGTTAACCCAGTGTCACCACAAACTAATATTCTTGGCTCTAACAGGTAGCAACTGGAGGGAGATAAGTCATTACTTAAGGATGAGGCCCTGTGGCGGGAACATGGAGGAGATGTGTGTGTGTGTCCTCTTCCACCACTCTGTAGCCTGACAACAGGAGACATGACCACCAACCCAAGTAGTCCAGGATAAATAGGGTCCAAGAAGCAAGGAGTCCTGAACTGCAACACGGAGCCCCAGGAACTTCTACAAAGGAGTATCTGTGTGTGTATATATATTTATAGAATACGATCATATTATCACATACAATATATATTATATACACACATACATATGGACCCATACACTTAAGTGCATACACACACACACGCACACAGAGAATGACAGAAAGGACTGGAATACACGCCCTACTTATAAACGTGCTTGGCACTCAGGACGATCTCTAGAATATGTAACTTGGTCAAGCTCTCTGGGGAGAAAGGCAAATGCTCATCAAACCTCCCCATAAAATCCTAGCAAACGGAAGGAGTGGGAGACAGGAGACCTCCGGAAAGAGAATGGCGGGAGAAAGGGGGAGGGATGTTCCTTCCCCACTTACCTCGGGGACCCTGGAAAAAATCAATAGCCACAATTTGGTTTTAATAAGGCACAGTTTGATAGCAGGTGCTAGGAATTAAGAACACATTGCTGCTGGCCCTTTCTAGTGGCAACTTCACCACATTTATCTAGCCAAAGGGAAAGGCTGCCTTGCGTGCACATGTGCCGGGAGACACGAGAAAGAAGTTGATCCATGGCTTCAGCGTAACTGATGGCAACCTATAGGCTCAGCGGTGTGTCCAGGGTAGTTTAAGGAAGGCTGGCCAGCAGGTAGGAGGTTCGTGGAAGAGTTACTGACCCTCCATGGCCAGAAGGTTTTGGCCAGAGGATACCATGCCCTCCTTCTCTGCGAACTCCAGGATGGCCTTGTAGCAAAAATAGTACTGCTCAGGGGTCTGGATGCTGAAGGCCCTCTGGGTCCTCATGCGTGACACCGTCTGGAACACATTAAGGGTGCCAAGCTCCTCCAGCTGTGCCAGGCAGATGTCCAGTGAGCAGAAGGTACCTGAAGAAGGAAGGAAGTGATCACATCTGGTTTACCTCTCCTCTCTTCTTCCCTCTATCAAATAACCCAGGCAGAATTGAATGAATGAATTCAAAGGCAAACTGCCTCATGGCAGAAGGTAAGGTGACCTTAGGCCTGAAAAGACTTAAGGAGAAGGTCCCTCTTACCTCTCAGGACACACACTGGGGCAACAGAAGTGGAAACGGGAAGGTGACGCAGGGTAACTTCCTGCTTCAATCCCAGACAGACAGACTGACAGCACTCCCACACCTAATTTCCAGAGTCCACAAGTTTCTCAGCGGCTTCACGCAAAGCTATTCCCAACTTTCTCCCAAAGGGACGTTTGAACTAGAAAGGCCCACACTTCCTGCCATGTACATCCCCTTAAGGCAAAAGCTGCTAGCTCGCTCCAGAATGGAGAACACAGCACAGGGTGGGGAGTCCCTCCAGGGAGGGCTGGATGGGAAGGAAGCAGCCCGGCTGAGCTCTCTGGGATACCTGCAGTGACAGTGCTAACAAGGTAACAGGGTGAGTAAGACGGGGTGAATAAAACATCAACCCCTAGAGGATTTGGCTTATGAAATAATAGACTCTGGCCATCGCTTGGTCCACCAAAAGGACATTAAAAGAGGGATTTTTCACAGCAATTCACCACCAAGGAAGCAAGTGACTTCCCTCTCCAATCACAGATGTGGGCTAAGAGCTTTGTTATTCCTCCTCCACCCCGACTGCCTCTGCAGGCACCAAGAGCTGCATTAGGTACATTACCTGTCCTGCCAATGCCTGCACTGCAGTGGACCACAATGGGCGGCTCAGGGCACTGCCCTTTGGAGCGTGCTCCCATGTTGCTCACAGCCAGACTCTGCTGGTTTCTGACCACTCTCAAGAAGTCAATGAGGGAAGCTGCTGAGGAAGGGACACCATAGTCTGGCCAGCTCAAGAACTGGAAGTGGGTCACCTGCCGTTTCTGCCGCTCCTTAGATGAGAAAAGCAAAAGTTAGCAAGGTAATTTCTTTTTTTTTTTTGAGACGGAGTTTCACTCTTGTTACCCAGGCTGGAGTGCAATGGCGTGATCTCGGCTCACCGCAACCTCTGCCTCCTGGGTTCAGGCAATTCTCCTGACTCAGCCTCCTGAGTAGCTGAGATTACAGGCACGCACCACCACGCCCAGCTAGTTTTTTGTATTTTTAGTAGAGACAGGGTTTCACCATGTTGACCAGGATGGTCTCGATCTCTTGACCTCGCAATCCACCCGCCTCGGCCTCCCAAAGTGCTGGGATTACAGGCTTGAGCCACCGCACCCGGCCTTGTTTTTTTTTTGAGACAGGATCTCACTCTGTCACCCAGGCTGGCGTGCAGTGGCACGATCAAACCTACTGCTGCCTTGACCTCACAGGCATGTGCCACCATGCCCAGCTGATTTGTTCTGTGTTTTGTAGAGGCAGGATCTCACTGTGTTGCCTAGGTTGTCCTGAACTCCTGGGCTCAAGTGATCCTTCTGCCTTGGCCACCCAGAGTGCTGGGATTACAGGCATAAGCCATTGCAGCCAGCCCCAGATTTCTTAAATTCTAAGTTTTATTCCTATTTGATGCTCCTATTGTGCTGCAGTAATATGGCTATATTGGCTGTGAGTTAAAATATCCTCATCCTGACCCCAGAAAAACAGAAGCAAATCACAGCCTCCCTGGTATCCTAATTATTCCCTCTGGAAATTTTCTTTACAATAATTATTCTCCCCCTGTTTCAACAAGGTGAGAAAAAAGAAATCTGGATTTACCTCTGTGTTGTGAATTTCTAGCGTTGTTTTCTTATAATGATTCATGTTCTCCACGCCTAGATTGGTCACTGTGAGGAAGCCAAATCGGATCCGAGAGTCTTTTTCTAAAGGCCAGTACTGGCCACACTTTCTCCTGCCGCCTTCCTCAAAGCTGAAGACACACAGAACAAGGTAAGCCATCCATCCTTCCTCTCCACAGCAGTAACCCGCCTTCCGCAAAATCCTGATATACCCCCAGGCAGCAATATTATCTCTTGCATTGCTTCTAACTTACACCATTGATTCTCAGCAGAAAAGAAAGGAAACCTCTTCATTCTTAACAAAAGTACTCACAGCTAAAGTTTCTGCATGTACTCATATAGCAGACAGTTACTGAGCACTTACCACATCATTTGGTCTTTTTCCTAATATGCAATAATACTTCTCACATATGTAGGATAAATACTGGGTGAACAGAGGAAAAAACAGTATAGTAGCTGGGTGCAGTCATGCATGCCTGTAATCCCAGCTACTTGGGAGGCTTAGGCAGGAGAATCACCTAAGACCATGAGCCTGAGCAACAACATAGTGAAACTCCATCTGAAAAAAAAAAAAAAAAGGGCCGGGCGTGGTGACTCAAGCCTGTAATCCCAGCACTTTGGGAGGCTGAGGCGGGTGGATCACGAGGTCAAGAGATCGAGACCATCCTGGTCAACATGGTGAAACCCCGTCTACTAAAAATACGAAAAATTAGCTGGGCATGGTGGCGCGTGCCTGTAATCCCAGCTACTCAGGAGGCTGAGGCAGGAGAATTGCCTGAACCCAGGAGGCGGAGGTTGCGGTGAGCCGAGATCGCGCCATTGCACTCCAGCCTGGGTAACAAGAGCGAAACTCTGTATCAAAAAAAAAAAAAAAAAAAAAAAGGAAAAAGAAAAGAAAAAGGGAAAAAAAACAGTAGAGAAAATATGACAGGTCAGAGAGAACTCCCTGGCCTATACCTCAGCCACTGCTTATTGTCTTCCCTGTTGGCTAATAGAGGACTGAGAAAGACACATCTCCTGGAATGTTAGCAGGAGGTTTGTGTAAAAGCCTAAAGTCTCCGTCTGGGCAACATGGAAACCCTGTCTCTACTAAAAATACAAATATTAGCCAGGCATGGTGGTGGGTACCTGTAGTCCCAGCTACTTGGGAGGCTAAGGCAGGAGGATTGCTTGAATCGGGAGGTTGAGACTGCACTGAGCTGAGATGCTGCCACTGCACTCCAGCCTGGATGACAAAGTGAGACTCTGTCTCAAAAAAAAAAGGCTAGGCCAGGCATGGTGGCTCACACACCTGAAATCCCAGCACTTTGGGAGGCTGAGGCTGCTGGATCACCTGAAGTCAAGAGTTCAAGACCAGCTTGGCCAACATGGTAAAACCCTGTCTCTACTAAAAATAAAAAAATTAGCCAGGCATAGTGGTGAGCGCCTGTAATCCCAGCTACTTGGGAGGCTGAGGCCAGAAGAATCGCTTGAACCCAGAAGGCAGAGGTTGCAGTGAGCTGAGATCACAGCACTAACTCCAGCCTGGGTGACTGAGCAAGACTCTGTCTCCCCCCACCCCCCCCCCAAAAAAAGGCCGAAATCTACCTTGCCACCCTCCAGTGGCGCCAAAGTATTCCAAGGTGGTACTTCTCCCACTGCCTCCTCTCCAAATAAGAGGTGGTTGTAACAGTGCTGAGGAAGGGAACTGAACATTCTCATTCGTTTTTTTCCTTTCTCATCTGAAAAAGGTTATTCCTTAAATTTGCCAGATTAGTAGACCAAAATTTCAAAAATATTCCTTTCATTAAAAGCTTCCTGGGTGGACATGGTGATTCAAGCCTGTAATCCCAGCACTTTGGGAGGCCAAGGTGGGCGGATCACAAGGTCAGGAGTTCAAGACCAGCCTGACCAACAATGGTGAAACCCCGTCTCTACTAAAAATACAAAAATTAGCTGGGTGTGGTGGCGTGTGCCTGTAATCCCAGCTACTCAGGAGGCTGAGGCAGAGAATTGCTTGAGCCCAGGAGGGAGAGCTTGCAGTGAGCCGAGTTCATGACATTGCACTCCAGCCTGGGTGACAGGATGACATTCTGTCTCTTTTGTTTATTTGTTTTATTTTTTAATTTTTTTTTTTTTTTTAGAGATGGGGTTTCACCATATTGGCCAGGCTAGTCTTAAAACTCCTGATCTCGTGATCCACCTGCCTCGGCCTCACAGAGTGCTGGGATTACAGGTGTGAGCCACCGCGCCTGGCCCACTCTGTCTCAAAAACACACAAGCTTCCTACCTGACCCATTAGGATTTACCCATTATGTTTTCTGCAGTTCTACTATAGGTGAAAATATGAACGACCAGAAAAAAATGGTCAGAAAGCAACAGGCCGGGCACAATGGCTCATGCCTGTAATCCCAGCACTTTGGGAGGCTGAGGTGGACAGAACACTTGAGGTCCGGAGTTCAAGAATAGCCTGGCCAACATGGTAAAACCCTGTCTCTACTAAAAATACAAAAATTAGCTGGGCATGTGGCACATGCCTGTAATTCCAGCAACTTGGGAGGCCGAGGCAGGAGAACTGCTTGAACCTGAGAGACAGGTGACAGTGAGCCAAGACCGTGCCACTGCACTCCAGCCTCGGTGACAGAGTGAGACTCCACCTCAAAAGAAAAGAAAGTAACAACAAATGGAGAGCAAAGGGGATCTGGTAGTTCAGGAGCCAGGAAGACAGCTCCCCTCTGGAAGCAGGGAGCGGATGAAAGAGCTGTCCCACGTTTCCCTGTAATTCCTTTAGCGGCTGAGGCCGGGACCTCAAAGTAGGCTGTGACTGGAACGGGGCGGCCGGAGCCGGGTAGTAAAGCTTTGACAAGGCGGTGCGGTCCTCTCCACCACACTGGGTCGGGAATTAGCCAAGAGATCTCAAAATCTTTGCCATGGGTTTCTTAATCCTTTTTTTTTTTTTTTTAAGACAAGAGTCTTACTCTGTTGCCCAGGCTGGAGTGCAGTAGTGTGATCACAGCAACATCCGCCTCCTCGGTTCAAGCAATGTTCCTGCTTCAGCCTCCTGAGTAGCTAGGACTACAGGTACGTGCCTCTACGCTGGGTAAAGTTTTGTGTTTTTAGCAAAGATGGGGTTTCACTGTGTTAGTCAGGATGGTCTCAATCTCCTGATGTTGTGATTGCCTGCCTTGGCCTTCTAAAGTGCTGGGATTACAGGCGTGAGCCACTGCACCCGGGCTTTTTTTTTTGAGACAGAGTCTCACTCTATTACTCAGGCTGGAGTGCAGTGGCATGATTTCAGCCTCACTGCAACCTCTACCTCCTGGGTTCAAGTGATTCTCCTGCCGCAGCCTCCCGAGCAGCTGGGATTATATATAGGCATGTACCACCATGCCTAGCTAAATTTTTGTATTTTTAATAGAGACAGGGTTTCACTATGCTGGTCCAGGCTGGTCTGGAACTGTTGATCTTGTGATCCACCCGCCTCGGCCTCCCAAAGTGCTGGGACTACAGGTGTGAGCCACCATGCCCAGCTGGCCCCCATTATTTCTAAAAGCTAAACTTCCCTCTTCAATCATGCTTAGGGACAGAGTAGAGGTGAGGACCAACGGAAAAAAGGGATTAACTCACCGGGTGGTCATGACAATCACCAAGACTTTTTGCTCCCATACCATGAGCCAGAAATCACGATACGTATTTTCCAAAGGACCTGGAATAAAAGAAGACAGGAAACATGACTCTGGGAAACCCTGTTTTCCTTTGTAGGCTTCTTCTGTTTTACTCCCCAATGGTAACTCTGAACCACAGCTGTTAGCTCCCTGCTCATCCCTCCACATCCCTGCTATTCAGTGTGGTCTGTGGACCAATCAAACCAGCATCATATGGGAGAGTGTAGGAAACATGAATCTGCACGTTAACAAGATCTCCCAGAGAGTCATAGGTAGGTTTGGGAAGGACTGTTACATACCCTCTCAGAGCCTTAATCATTCAGCCATCACATTCAGGCTGACAGGGTCAAATGTTTTCACCTCACCTAAGCTTCAGTCTTATAATCACAGGTTGCTTACTAAACCATTAGCCTTCTGTTTCCCATCATCTCAGATTCATTATGTCTGCAACTAAGTCTCCTCCTTCAAAATTAGCTTTATTTTGGCCAGGTGCAGTTGTTCATGCCTGTAATCCCAGCACTTTGGGAGGCCAAGACAGGTGGGTTGCCTGAGCTCAGGAGTTTGAGATTAGCCTGGCCAACATGACAACATTTCAGATTAGCCTGGCCAACATTTCCATCTCTGTGAAAAATAAAAAAATCAGCCGGGGTGGTGGCGCCTGCCTGTAGTCCCAGCTAACTGGGAGGCTGAGGCACGAGAATCACTTGACCCTGGGAGGTGGAGGTTGCAGTGAGCTGAGATCGCACCACTGCATTCCAGCCTGGGAAACAGATGAGACTCCATTAAAAAAAAAAAAAAAAAAAAAGTAGCTTTATCTTGCAACTTTCTTATCTCTGTTAACAATACTGGCATTCTTAAATCATATAGTCTTAACAAGTTGAAGTCGACTCTGACTTACCCACTTCCTTCATCTCCTGGAAGCAGTCAGTCACCAAATCCTAGAGATTTTTTTACCTTTTAAATGTTTTTGGGTTTTGTTCTTCTGCCCCTATCTTCTCCCCATCCTGTTCTTCCTGCCCAACTGCACTGACACAAAGACCACATCATTGCCCAGCACGGTGGCTCACACCTGTAATCCCAGCACTTTGGGAGGCAGAGGCAGGTGCATCACCTGAGGTCCAGAGTTTGAGACCAGCCTGACCAACATGGAGAAACCCTATTTCTACTAAAAATACAAAATTAGCTGGGTATGATGGTGCATGCCTATAATCCCAGCTACTTGGAGCCTGAGGCAGGAGAATCACTTGAACCCAGGAGACAGAGGTTATGGTGAGCCGAGATCGCGCCACTGCACTCCAGCTTGGGCAACAAGAGCGAAACTCCGTCTCAAACAAAAACACAACAAAACAAACAAACAAACAACAGAAACAGAGACCACATCATTTTCTAAGTTACTGTAACATACTCTTAGTCTGCTTTTCTGTTTATATATTTTTATTTGGAAATGTTTATATCAGTACAAGAAAACAATTTTGGAGACAGTAAATGTAATCAGTTATCATTAGTTTATTATAAAAGAGAGATATGGAAATTATTTACATGATGAAAGAATTCAGAACTTCAGTGGAATGGGCAGCTTCACATTGATGCCATTTCAATAGTGACTTATTTCAGTCTATGTACTTTCCAAGAATGTCACCATCTCTAAATAGGAAATAATCCTTGTCATCTAGAACTACTTTGGTGCCTCCATATTCTGGGAGAAGAGCTTTATCTCCAACTTTCATGCTAACTGGTTGAATCTCTCCACCCTTTCCTTTAGAACCCAATCCAACAGCGACTACTGTTGCTTGCAATACTTTTCCTTGAGATTTTTCTGGAAGCATAACGCCTCCTTTGGTTACAGTTTCAGCTGCGCTCCTTTCAACCAATACTCGGTCAAAGAGTGGGAGAAACTTTCTAAATGCCTGTCCTGCCATGACTCCCTCAGCCTCAGACTCGTACTCTGCTCTGGCACACCGTGGCAAAGAGAGACCTAGTCTGCTTTTCTGAATAGGCCTTTTCCCCTTCCAGTCTACTCTGGGAACCCCATCAGTTTAATCTTTCTTAAAAATGACTTCATCAGAACATAGATACACCATGCTCACTTTTGCCTCTATTCTTTTGCTCAAGCTGTCTCCCTCACCTCCAATGCTATTCATTTTCTACCTGTTTTCAAGTGCTGTGTCTTCCTTGACATTGTCTCTGACCACCCCATTCCTTGTGAAGCTGCTTCTCTTTTGCTTTTGATGGCACAGCTGGATATATACAGGTTAACCATTCAATTTATATACTCTTAACATCTGTTATTTTACTTTGAGGGAATTAATGATATCTCAGTAAACATGGTCCTAAGGACAAGGGATTACAGGTGTGAGCTACTGCGCTTGTCCAAATTCTCCTTTTATAGTTAGAACTTGCATAGTTCTAAGCACTCAGCAACAACTTTCAAGATACTTGTGGATTACCAACTCCATTTCAATCAAGACAGTAACCAGCCAGGCGCAATAGCTCATACCTGTAATCCCAGCACTTTGGGAGGCCAAGGCAGGCGGATCACTTGAGGTCAGGAGTTTAAGACAAGCCTGGTCAACATGGTAAAATCCCATCTCTACTAAAAATACAAAAATTAGCTGGGTGTGGTGGCGGGCGCGTGTAATCCCAGCTACCCGGGAGCCTGAGTTAGGAGACTCCCTTGAACCCGGAAAGCGGAGGTTGTAGTGAGCCAAGATCTTGCCATTGTACCCAGCCTGGGCAACAGAAAGACTCCGTCTCAAGAAAAAAAAAAGAGGACAGTAACACTCAGGATAATTTCTTAAACTTTCCTGGTGTTTCTCCCCTCTCTGCTTTCAGGAAAGCAGGGCAGCACTAATGGTTAATTTTGGCCTAGAAGTCTGCTAGTTCCACTACAACTAATAATTTTTGAGACGGGGTCTCACTCTGTCACCTGCGCTGGGTGAGAGTGGTATCATGGCTCACTGCAGCCAAATTATTGCTCACTCAGCCAAATTATTGCTAAGTCTTTTAGCAAGCACTAAGGTGACACTGAAATGCCCTCTCTGCAGAAATGGATGATGTCAAAAGCATGTGAGGTCTTAGAAATAAGCTAAATATCCAATAAGGGAGGATTAATTAAATGATGGCATATCAGGTGGGGTTCAGTGGCGCACACTTGTAATCTCAGCACTTTGGGAGGATGAGGTAGGCAGATCACTTGATCCTGGGAGTTCAAGACCAACCTGGGCAACATTGTGAAACTGCATCCCTACAAAAAAAATGCAAAACTCAGCCAGGTGTAGTAGCACATGCCTGTAGTCCCAGTTACTCAGGAGACTGAGGTGAGAAGATCACCTGTGCCCGGAGAGGTCGAGGCTGCAGTGAGCCATGATCATGAGTCATGATTGTAGCACTCTGTCACCCAGCCTAGGTGACAGAGTGAGACCCTGTCTCAAAAATAAATAAAAATAAATAATAGCATACCCATAATTTATACAGTGTATGAAGGTAATGTTGTAAGACCTGTATTTTTTGTTATGAAAGACAGATACCATTAAATGAAACAAGAGATATGTATAGAAAGAGCAGAGTTGGTTAATTTTTTTTTTTTGAGAACGAGTCTCACTCTGTCACTCAGGCTGGAGTGTAGTGGCGTGATCTCGGCTCACTGCAACCTCTGCCTCCTGGGTTCCAGCAGTTCTGGTGCCTCAGCTTCCTAAGTAGCTGGGATTACAGGCAACCACCATGCCCAGCTAATTTTTGTATTTTTAGTAGAGACGAAAGTTTTACCATGTTAGCCAGGCTGGTCTTAAACTCTTGACCTCAGGTGATTCACCCACCTCAGCCTCCCAAAGTACTGGGATTACAGGCTTGTATACCCAGCCTGGTTAAATATTTTATATGCCTATATTTGCATGTATGCATAGATAAAGGTCTAGGAGGAGATTCTGTAAAATGTTAACATTATCTCTGAGTCATAGGGTTATGAGTGATTTTTATCTTTGTTTTCTTTTTTTTTTTTTTTTTTTTTTGAGACGGAGTTTCGCTGTTGTTACCAGGTCTGGAGTGCAATGGCACGATCTCGGCTCACCGCAACCTCCACCTCCTGGGTTCAAGCAATTCTCCTGCCTCAGCCTCCCAAGTAGCTGGGACTACAGGCGTGCACCACCACGCCCGGCTAATTTTTGTATTTTTAGTAGAGACGGGGTTTCACCTTGTTGACCAAGATGGTCTCAATCAATCTCTTGACCTCGTGATCCACCCGCCTCGGCCTCCCAAAGTGCTGGGATTACAGGCGTGAGCCACTGCGCCTGGCTCCATTTGTTTCAATAGTTTGTCTTCAATTCTTTTTCCCTCCCAGCTGAGGATCTAATCACAGATCATTTTTTTTCTCTGAGATGGAGTTTTGCTACTGTTGCCCAGGCTGGAGTACAATGGCGTGATCTCGGCTCACCACAACCTCCATCTCCTGGGTTCAAGTGATTCTCCTGCCTCAGCCTTCCAAGTAGCTGGGACTACAGGCATGTACCACCCTGCCCGGCTAATTTTGTATTTTCATTAGAGACAGGGTTTCTCCATGTTGGTCAGGCTGATCTCAAACTCCCAACCTCAGGTGATTCGCCAGCCTCCTGAAATGTTGGGATTACAGGTGTGAACCACCGTGCCCGGCCTTTTTTTTGTTGTTTGTTTTTTGAGACAGGGTTTTTCTCTGTCACCCAGGTTAGATTGCTGGAGTGCAGTTGTGTAACCACAGCTCATTGCAGGCTTAACCTCACATGCTCAAGCAATCCTTCCACTTTGGCCTCATGAATAGCTGGGACCACAGGCACATGCCACCATGCCTGGCTAATTTTTAAAGATTTTTTTGAAAATAAAAAATTAAAAAAATAAAGATTTTTTTGGAGACAGGGTCTCCTTATGTTGCTCAGGCTGGTCTCAAATTCCTAGGCTCAAGGAATCCTCCCATCTCTGTCTACCAAAGTGCTGGGGCTATAGGTGTCTGTCATGCATCATCCTTTGCCATTGGTTTGCTCTGGTTTTTTTTTTTTTTTTTTTGAGACAGGATCTCACTGTGTCAGCCAGGCTGGAGTGCAGTGGCGCAATCTCAACTTAGAGCAACCTCTGCTTCCTGGGCTCAAATGATACTTCCACCTCAGCCTCCCAAAGTACTAGGGTTATAGGCGTGAACCACTGTGCCCAGCCATGGTTCTCTCTTTTTTTTTTTTTTTTTTTTTTTTTTTGAGATGGAGTTTCGCTCTTGTTACCCAGGCTGCAGTGCAATGGCGCCATCTCGGCTCACCGCAACCTCCGCCTCCTGGGTTCAGGCAATTCTCCTGCCTCAGCCTCCTGAGTAGCTGGGATTACAGGCACGTGCCACCATGCCCAGCTAATTTTTTTGTATTTTTAGTAGAGACGGGGTTTCACCATGTTGACCAGGATGGTCTCGATCTCTTGACCTCGTGATCCACCCGCCTCGGCCTCCCAAAGTGCTGGGATTACAGGCTTCAGCCACCACGCCCGGCCTGGTTCTCTTTAATCTCCCTTTAATCTAGAACAGTTCTCTGCCTTTTTGTGTGTTAATGGCATTAATTTCGGAGAGTTTGAGCTAGTTTTCTCATAGTATGTCCCACAATCTGGATTTCTCTGGTTTGTTTCCCCTGACTACATAAAGATTTTAAAACTGGCAATACACAACACAGATGATATTCATTTCTCAATGCATCATATCAGGAGGCATACATAATGTCCCTTTGTCTTTTATTGATGATACTAAGTTTGATGACTTGATTAAAGAAGTATCCACCAGATCTTGCTCTGCGATGGTCAAAGGGCCTATGCCCATTTGATGGTCTGTTGTCTTTCTGTGTTATCATTTCCCCCTACTCTCTTTGAAAGTGACACAATAGGTTAGGCGCAGTGGCTCACGCCTGTAATCCCAGCACTTTGAGAGGCCAAGGTGGGTGGATCACTTGAGGTCAGTTCAAGACCAGCCTGGCCAACATGGTGAAACCCGGTCTCCACTAAAAATACAAAAATTAGCTGGGCATGGTGGCACATACCTGTAGTCGCACCTACTCGGAAGGCTGAGGCAAGAGAATCACTCAAACCCAGGAGGTGGAGGTGCAGTGAGCCAATATCATGCCACTGCACTCCAGCCTAAGTGATGGAGCAAGACTCCATCTCCAAAAAAGAAAAAACAAAACAAATGAGAAATCCATCTAGAGCTCAGTATTTCACTGTCAGACCCATTAGCACATACTATCTATGTCAGAATACTTGCTGGAGTGCTCTGTGATGGTGCAGGAACCAGCCTAGGCCTGTTAGGACATCAATACTCATTTCCTAGATTGAACTAAATCTCTGAGAAGTCCACTGCTATTCTTGGCCTCTTACTGGACAGGAAGAGCATGAAGAGCTGGCTGATGAGTTCTGATGCCCTACACCTTGCCAAGGCTAAAACTAACCCCAAAACCTGAAGGCAGTAGTGTTATATATTTAAATCTCCAGTTTATCTATCTCTATATGGTGAGTTTCCAGGCACACCTGGTACAGAAACCCCAAACTACTCATCTGCTTTTCTCAACCACCACCAATCTTTATGGAAGGCCAGGATCTAATGGCCAAAACCTCCACTGAAGTTACTATTCCTTTAAAAATTATGCCATCATTTGGCACAAGGAATCTTAAGTATAAGGCACAAAACCAGCATGGGAGGGATGAATCAGCTTACCTTGCGTGCCAATGTAAGCATTCTTCTGCTTGTAGCCATCCATGAAACTGGCATTGATGTAATCTGTCTAATGATAAAAAGGAGACATCACTACAGCCGCACAGAATATACCATTTGGGTCATAAAATTATGTACTCCGTAAGTAAAACCCAAGGTGTAAATATTCTCTTCTTGTTTAGAAGAAAATGAGGAGTGAAATGGCCAGCTGAAAACCTCACTTCAATAAATGTTGCTGGGACAAGTGGTTATCTACATGCAGAAAAATCAAGCTGACTCCTTCCTCACACCATGCACAAAAATTGACTCAAAATGGATGACAGACCAAATGTAAGAGTTAAAACTATCAGCATAAAATATAAGAGTAAATCTTTGTGACCTTGGTTTAGGCAAAGCCTTCACAGATATGACACCAAAGGCATAAGTGACAAAAGAAAAGAGATAAATTGCACTATATTAAAATTAAAATCTTTTGTGCGTCTTGCTCTGTCACTCAGGCCTGGAGTGCAATGGCGCAATCCTGGCTCACTGCAACTCCTCCTCCTCCTGGGTTCAAGTGATTCTCCTGCCTCAGCCTCCTGAGTAACTGGGATTATAGGCACCTGCCACCATGCCCGCCTAATTTTTGTACTTTTAGTAGAGATGGGGTTTCACAATTTTGTTCAGGCTGGTCTCAAACTCCTGACCTTGTGATTAGCCCACCTCGACCTCCCAAAGTGCCTCCACCAGTGCCCCTAAAAAGATGACAGGCGTGAGTACCACGCCCGGCATGAAGAGCAGATGTTAAGGGTTTTCCCACCACACAAGGGAAACATGTGAAGTAATGCATATGTTAACTAGCTTGACTTAGCTACTCTGCAATGCATACGTATTTTAAAATATTACACTGTATACCATAAATATATACAATTTTTATCCATTAAAATTTAAAAATAACTAAATGTCAGGAAACAGAATGAGAAAAATAACCCCAAAGGCAGAAATACCCTGAGAGTATGGAGTCCCCAAAGCTAAGCAAATAATTTTGTTTCACTTTCCCTGTCCCTCAAAGTAAATAATTTAATGTCAAAATAAATAAATAAATAAATAAACAAAATAAAACAAAAAAACCTAAATATTCCATTTGCTGTAAAAATAAAGCCTCCACTAATGTTTCAGTAATGAGAGGGACTACAAATCAGACAATGATCTTCACAGTAACCACAGGATGACAAGAAGAGTCTCCGGCAAACTAAGATTCACTCATTCACAGATAAGTCCCGAGTGTCTGACACATGCCACGCACGGTTCTAGGTTCTGGAGACTGGAAAGTCAACAAAGTGGATGAATACAGATATCTCCTACTCCAGAGCCCCAACTCAACCACTGCGCTCCACTCTTTCAGCACATATACAATGATGATCTCAGCAGTACTGATGAATTTACCCTCCAGCCAGCCAGTCTCAGATCAAATGCTCCTGCAGGAAAATCTCCAGGGGTCCTGGACAGGACTATGAATTAGGTTTACATGCTTGAAACAATAGGGACAAGAGAATTGGAAACCATAATCCTGGGGTCCGAACCCGCATATCATATGTGCCCAAATACAAGGCAATGATTTTCCAAAACTTACCCCTAGATAGAGAAGGGATATAACAAATCCTTATAATGTGTTCATGTTAAAGAGGCACTATTTAAATTACTTTACCTTCAACAACACCTCCGTCAATGCTGCATTGTTTGTTGGTTTGTTTTTTTCCGAGATGGAGTTTTGCTCTTGTTGCCCAGGCTGGAGTGCAATGGCGCAATCTCAGCTCACTGCAACCTCCACCTCCCGGGTTCAAGAGATTATGTTGCCCCAGCCTCCCGAGTAGCTGGGATTATAGGCATGCGCCACCACACCCAGCTAATTTTGTGTTTTTAGTAGAGACAGGGTTGCACCATGTTGGCCAGGCTGGTCTTGAACTACTAACCTCGTAATCCACCTGCCTCAGCCTCCCAAAGTGCTGGGATTACAGGCGTGAGCCACCGCGCCTGGCCATGCTGGGTTTTTTTGATGCTTAGAGAGATCACCTAACAAAACTGGTATTATCAGAAGGGGAAAAAAAGATGATAATAACAATTTAGTAATTGATCTCAAAATTCTAAGGTTGTTGCTATAAACAAGTTATATTAAAAAGGAATTTATGGCCAGGCACATTGGCTCATGCCTGTAATCCCACCGCTTTGGGAGGCCAAGGCGAGAGGCTTGCTTGAGCCCAGGAAGAACTGGCCAACAGAACTGGCCCAGGAGGAACTGGCCAACAGAGACCCTATCTCTACAAAAATTTTAAAAAATCAGCCAGGTGTAATGACATATGCCTATAGTCCCAGCTACTTAGGAGGTAGAGGTGGGAGGATCGCTTGAGCCCAGGAGTTCAAGGGTGCAGTGGGCTATGATCAAGTCACTGCACTCCAGCCTGGGTGACAGAGTGAGACCCTGTCTCTATTTTTTTTTCAAGGATTTTACAAAAGAATAAGTGAATGAATCACATTATAGAGGATGCATAAGATGCAAGATGAATTAAAAAACGTGACAGACGCTAAAGTTAAAGTTGTATGTGAAGTATTTGAATAAAATGTTCACTAAATATCTGTTAATAGATTACATATGAGGTTTTCAATATATAATAAATTTACATATTAAATAATATAGTCATTTGACCATTTCGTCTGTATCCCTAGACATTTATGTATACGTAAGTTGTCCACAATTTCCCCAGATACAGATGGAGAAATCAGAGGTCACTTACAATCAAGGCTGCCTTGTATTGATGCATATATACTCACCAAAGGAATTGGACTCTATGACCATAACTTTACAACTAAGGAGTAAAAGGAGAAATAATTTAACATCTACGAAGCACTCATAATATATCAGACCTTGCACTATCAGCATTCACATAATAATGTCATTTAATTTCCACTCGATACTGTGAGGTGGGCGTTTGAGGACTTGCCTATGGTCATAGACTAGTGTGTAGCAAAATATGAACTGAAACCTAATCTCTCCGGCCTTGGAGTCTACTTTCATGCTACTATAGTATTAGTAAGCTTCACTTTGGAAGAAGCTCAATTTCCCCCAGTGCACCTGGAAAGATGACATTGATCTGTCTACCTGAGTATGGCCACTTCGCTTTGTTAGCTTCACTCTAGTTTGGTCCAGGCAGGGCACATCCCCATAACGATTCTTCTCTAGGTTTCCTGGAGACCTGAAGGAAATGAAACAAACAAGCAAGCAAGAATAAAGAAAAAGTGGGAACAGTATGTACGTACAAAGTCTGATCATGCAAAAGGAGTGTCAGTTACTCCAGGGGTGGAGACATGGAAGCTTTTCAATCTCTGGCCCATAGGGTTTCATATCATTTAACATTTTTTATGGTAAGTACATACTACTTCTAAAAATAAACATATCGCCTTTCAAAAGAGAGAGGGAGGTCAGTCACCGTGGCTCACACCTTTACTCCCAGGACTTGGGGAGGCAGAAGGATTGCTTGAGGCCTGGAGTTTGTAATCAGGAAATGTAATGCGAGCCTATCTCTACAAAGAAGTTAAAAAATTAGCCAGGCCTCATGGCACACACCTGTAGTCCTAGCTACTCGGGAGTCTAAGGTGGGAGGATCACTTCAGCCCAGGGAGTCAGGGCTGTAGTGAGCTATGATGGTACCACTCTACTCAAGCCCAAAGAAACCCTGACTCTGAAAAAAAAGAGAGGCCGGACTTGGTGGCTTATGCCTGTAATCCCAGCACTTTGGGAGACCAATGCGGGTGGATCACCTAAGGTCAGGAGTTCAAGACCAGACTGGCCAAGAATGATAATGCCCCATCTCTACTAAAAATACAAAAATGAGCCAGGTGTGGTGGTACACACCTGTAATCCCAGCTACTCAATAGGCTGAAGCAGGATAATCACTTGAACCTGGGAGGTGGAGGTTGCAGTGAGCCAAAATCGCACCACTGTACTCCAGCCTCAGTGATAAAGACTCCATCTCAAAAAAAATGAAATAAAATAAAATAATAAAAAATTTAATTTAATTTAAAAAGAGAGAAAGTGGGGATGGGAGTCCCCACTCCCAATTTCTACCTTGATAGAAATTGGTACTAAGAAGCGGGGTGCTCCTGTAACTAAAAATGTGGAGGCAGATTTGGAATTGGGTAATGGATAGAGCTGATAGAGTTTGGAAGTGCATGCAGAAAAAGCCTACATTGCTATAAGCAGGCATAAAGGGCAAGTCTAGAGAGAAAACTAACATAATGCAAAGAAAAAAATCATTTAAAAAATGATGTAACAAAAAAAATTCCTAGAACTGAATAACAAGCCTTCAGATTAAAAGAATCTATCAAGTAACCAATGCAGTAAGTTTTTTTTTGTTTTTGTTTTTTGTTTTTTGTTTTGAGACGGAGTTTTGCTCTTGTTACCCAGGCTGGAGTGCAATGGCACGATCTCGGCTCACCGCAACCTCCGCCTCCTGGGTTCAAGCAATTCTCCTGCCTCAGCCTCCTGAGTAGCTGGGATTACAGGCACGCGCCACTATGCCCAGCTGATTTTTAGTATTTTTAGTAGAGACGGGGTTTCACCATGTTGACCAGGATGGTCTCGATCTCTTGTCCTTGTGATCCACCCGCCTCGGCCTCCCAAAGTGCTGGGATTACAGGCTTGAACCACCGTGCCCGGCTGCAGTAAGTTTTAAAAGAGGATCTACACTAAGGAACATCATTGTGAATTATTATTATTATTATTATTATTTTGAGACGGAGTCTCACTCTGTCCACCAGGCTCAAGTGCAGTGGTGCGATCTTGGCTCATTGCAACCTCCGCCTCCCAGGTTGAAGTGATTCTCCTGCCTCAGCCTACTGAGTAGCTAGGATTATAGGAGCATGCCACCATGCCTGGCTAATATTTATTTATTTACTTATTAATTTTTTGAGATGGAGTTTTGCTCTTGTTGCCCAGGCTGGAGTGCAATGGCGCGATCTCGGCTCACCGCAACCTCCACCTCCTGGGTTCAAGCGATTCTCCTGCCTCAGCATCCTGAGTAGCTGGGATTATAGGCGCGCGCCACCACACCCAGCTAATTTTGTATTTTTAGTAGAGACGGGGTTTCGCCATGTTGGCCAGGCTGGTCTTGAAGTCCTGACCTCAAGTGATCCACCTCCTTGCTCCCAAAGTGCTGGGATTACAGACATGCGCCACCACACATGCCCCAATTTTTATATTTTTAGTAGAGACGGGGTTTTGCCATGTTGTCCAGGCTGGTCTTGAACTCCTAACCTCAGGTGATCTACCCTTCTTGGCCTCCCAAACTGCTGGGGTTACAGGCATGAGCCACCATGCCTGGCCTCTTTCAATTCTTTTAAATGATTTACTGTTTTTCTTTTTTCTTCCCTGGACATTTTGTTTAAGAAATTTAGGCTTGGTGCAGTGGCTCACCCCTGCAATTTCAGCACTTTGGGAGGCCGAGAAGGGGAGATCACCTGAGGTCAGGACTGGGAGACCAGCCTGGCTAACATGGTGAAACCATGTCTCTACTAAAAATACAAAAATTTGCTGGGCATGATGGTGCATACCTGCAGTCCCAGCTAGTCAGGAGGCTGAGGCAGGAGAATCACCTGAACCCGGGAGGTGGAGGTTGCAGTGAGCCGAGATTGTGCCACTGCACTCCAGCCTGGGTGACAGGAGTCATAAATGAATGAATGAATGAATGATTGGAGAAATAATAAGATCAGATAATTCACAGCATCACTAGTAATCGGAATGGCATTGCCTTTAAAAATTCTGAGATAAAATTATTTCCAACCTAGAGTTCTATACTGTAGCAAAACAGAATAAAGGTAAAGAAAGAAGGTGATCTACAATTAGGAAAGAAGATCCAACAAAGGAAACAGGGAAAATTGCAAGATAAAAACTAAGGAGCAAGCCTAGATAATAACCAACCACAGTTTAGACTAGAAAAGGAAAAAAGGTTCTGAAAGTGAGTCTCTGGAAAAAAAAAAATGGAAGCAATTGATTATCTGATACATTCAACCACTTAGAAACTAATGATGACAGTGTAAAATAAATCTGATTAGGCATATAGAAAAATAATGAAGCAAGGTGGCTCATACCCATAATCCCTGCACTTTGGGAGGCGAAGGTGGGCAGATCACTTGCGGTCAGGAGTTTGAAACCAGCCTGGCCCACATGGCAAAACCCTATCTCTACTATAAACACCAAAAAAAAAGTTAGCAAAGCAAGGTGGAGAGTGTCTATAATCCCAGCTACTGAGGAGGCGGCTGAGATATGAGAATCGCTTTAACCCAGGGTGCAGAGCTTGCAGAGAGCCAAGATCGTGACATTGCACTCTAGCCTGGGCAACAGAGGGAGACTCCGTCACAACAAAACAACAACAAAAGAAAAATAATGAGGATAGATACACAGAAAACCAAAGGAAATGAAAAAATCAGGTAATTAACTCCAGAAGAAAAAAAATTGAATTGATATTATTAGGCCAGGTGTAGTGGCTAATGCCAATTCCAGTACTTTGGGAGGCTGAGGCAGGTGGATGGCCTGAGCTCAGGAGTTTCAGACCAGCCTGGGCAACATGGCAAAACCCTGTCTCCACCAAAAATACAAAAAATTAGCCAGGTGGCCAGGTGCAGTGGTCACACCTGTAATACCAGCACTCTGGGAGGCTGAGGCCAAAGGATCACCTGAGGTCAGGAGTTTGAGACCAGCCTGGCCATATGGTGAAACTCTGTCTCTATTAAAAATACAAAAATTAGCCAGGTGTGGTGGCAGGCACCTGTGATCCCAGCCACTTGGGAGGCTGAGACAGGAGAATCGCTTGAACCTGGGAGGTGAAGGTTGCAGTGAGCCAAGATCCCACCACTGCACTCCAGCCTGGGCAACAAAGAGCGAAACTCCGTCTCAAAAAAAAAAAAAAAAAAAAATTAGCCAGGTGTGGTGGAGCGTGCCTGTGGTCCCAGCTACTCTGGAGGCTGAGGTGAGAGAATCGCTTGAGTTTAGGAAGCGGAGGTTGCAGTGAGCTGAGATAGAGCCACGGCACTGCAATCTGGGTGACAGAGTGACACAGCCTGTCTCAAAAAAGGCCAGGTGCAGAAGCTTACACCTGTAATCTTTAGCACTTTGGGAGGCCGAGGCAGGCAAATCACCTGAGGCCAGGATTTTGAGACCAGCCTGGCCAACATGGTGAAATCCTATTTCTACTAAAAATATATTATTTCTTTAAAAAAATGGTTCAGATCTGATTTGGCTCCTTCTGAGTTCTTTTTGTTTCCTAATCTTAAAAAAAAATCTACAAAATGCGCCCATTTTTCCTCAGTTAATGTGAAGTGTGAAAAAGATTGCACTGACATGGCTAAGTTCCTCAGTTATGGATGGACTAAATGGCTAGTATGACACAGGTATCTTAAACTTGATGGAACTTATGTTGAGAAATAACGTTTATATTTTAATCTTTCAAAATAATTGTTAAATATTTGATCATTTCATAGTAGTCCATGTAGCTCTCCAGTAAAAATAATTTACATAGTCCTAAAATGTACAATGACTACTGATTCAATTTAAGAATGTTACATATAATTACTGTATACTGGAAGAGTAGTCAAAAGGAAAGTGGAGACATAGTATAAGAGCTAAATGCCCACCTACAATAAAACTCAGTGAAAAGTATCATAAGTGTGCTTTTTTTTTTTGAGACAGGGCCTCACTCTAAAGTGCTGAGATTACAGGCGTGAGCCACTGTGCCTGGCATATGATAAGCATTTTAATTTAGAATTAGGGATGAAATACCAGAGAAAACAGCTATAAGAGTTGAAAACATGATTATAGGTAGTGTAACTGGGGGTAAAACAGGATTTGGCTATTTATTTTGTCATCGCTTTTCTTTTTTAGTACTTTTTGGTTTTGAAAAAAATTATTTGTATACATTAACTGAAAGCAAAGAAATTACAAAGGTCACACATATAAAATAATACTCTATATCGTTCATGAGTAAGCAAAATGAACTAGAAAGAAACACCATATTCATACTAGTAGCTGCTTATGATAAGTGGGGAGAGGTACAGAAGAGGATTACAAGGAATTTCAACTTTATAATAAATTATTTCTCTTATATAATAATAAAAAAGGCAGCTGGGCACAGTGGCTCATGCCTAAAATCCCAGTGCTTTGGGAGGCTGAGATGTGAGAATCACTTGAGCCCAAGAATTT